GCTCTGGGAGGGAGTTTGGGTGCGGGGTGCGGGTTCTGGGCTGGGGTAGGGGGTTGGGGGTAGGAGGGGGTGCGGGCTCTGGGAGGGAATTTGGGTGTGGGTTCTGGGATGAGGCAGGGGGTTGAGGTGTAGGTTCCGGCCAGGTGGCGCTTACCTTGGACGGCTCCTGAAAGCAACAGCTCCTAGGCAGGGGAGAGGGGGGTCTCCGCACGCTGCCCCTGCCCACAGGCACTGCCCCCACAGCTCCCATTGGCCACAGTTCCCGGCCAATGGGAGCTGTGGAATTAGCGCTCGGGGCAGGGGCAGCATGTGGAGACCCACTGCCACACCCCCCCGCCCCCAGGGACCGCAGGGACATGCCAGCTGCTTCCAGGAGCAGTGTGGAGCCAGGGGAGGCAGGGAACCTGCCTTAGCCCCGCTGTGCTGCTGGACTTTTAGCGCCTACAATCTCTGGGCGTGCAGGAGGCGCTGGGAAGGAAGGGGAGGACTTGAGGGAGGGCGGGGGAGGAGTTGATCAGTGGGGCCCGCGGACCCCCTGGAATACCTTTGGGGACCCCCAGTTCCACGGACCCCCGTTTGAGAAACGCTGCTCCAGAACATAAACCAGTCATCAGGCTCCTTAGCCATAATGTCACCAGTTCATGAACAATTTTTACCACATATGCATCATACCTCGGCATCCCTTATTTGTTGGAATTGCTTTACAGAAGGAAAATCAGGGCTTCCTACTTTCTTCCACTCCAAATAGGGATTGGTTAGGTTGTTGTCCAGGAGGTATGTCACATACACAAGCTCTTTGGAAACACAAAGGAAACATGTAAAGCTCCTGATCTGGGTTTAAAGACGAAGGGTAAAACTTTCAAAAGTGCTTAAATGACTTAGGAGCCAAAGTCCCATTTTCAAAAGTGACTTAAGAGCCTGAATCTCACTGACAGTCAACGGGACTCAGGGTAAAATTTTCACAAGTGCCTAAGACTAAATATTTTCAAGCCTTGGTCCTTAATGTTATGCTCTTAAATTCCTATCTAGGCTCCTAACTAGAAGTGTCCTGACTTTCACAGGTGCTGAACCCCATAGCAACTGTTGAAGACAACACCAGCAAATCCTACACACCGTGCAATGTTCAATATCTAGATTACATTATGATAATTCCCAGAGGGAGCTCTTTGCTCAGTGAGACCTGGCTCAGAGGCAGCTGGGCTGAATAGTTTCTGAACGGGTAGAATTCCCTGTATCCCTTCAAGGCCAGAGGCAGGCCCAACTCTGGGATCAGGGTCCACAATCTTTCCTAATCCAGTGCTCCTAGACCCCAGAAAATCTGGGGCTGCCAGGTAAGGAGAGATTTCTAGCTTGGTAATATACAAATTCTAGATGTGACCTCAGTTGTGAAATGAACCCTTTGGAAATGTTTGACGTGAACCTTTTCCTGGTTCAGTACCCAAATCCCCACACGCAGCCCATTTACCTGCATGCCTGGGGAAACGGGTAACGTTCACTGTCACAGCACTGATGTTAGAGGATGTCCGGTTGTCATCACTAGCGTAGATCAGTATGGTGGCCTGCCAGCTGTCTGACGGCTGTAGCTCCGCAGGAGCGTGCACGGTGGCTAGTACTCCAACAGTGTCGGTGTCGGCACTTTCGTCTTTGCTGATAATATCTACAAAAACTTGGTTTTCCCCTGGAAGTAAAAATACATTTTTGTCACATAAGGTAACTAGACCAGTGGTAGACCTGTGACAAGGTGAAACACAGAACTGTCCATACGCAGGGCTGAGCTATAGATTACTTGGTTATACCAGCATGAATTTGGAGGAGCACTGGTGAAGTCACTGGATTTACCCTGGCATAACTGAAACTGCCCATGGTGTTCAGCTCTGGAAATACAGCCCAGGTTCTGCAAAGCACTTCAGCATGTGCATAAATCTCATTTACTATGTTTGTACAGCATCTGGCACAGTGGTCCACCAACCTATTTGGCCTTTAGGTACTACATGCCTAATAACAGTTTTAAGTCAATAAGACTTAAGCGTGTGTTTAAGAGAATCAGGGCCTAGATTAACACCTTGGCGGGAGCTCAGAAGAATTGAGAGGCCAGAGAGCTTATTAAAGAGAAATATAGCTTGAATGGACCTGGCCCGGGGGGATACCAGTCCACAAATATAAAAGGAAAGGTACTGACCGAGGTGGCATACGGGGGTATAAATAGAAGCAATAGGATCAATTTAGAGCAGGGGTGGCCAACCTGAGCCTGAGAAGGAGCCAGAATTTATCAATGTACATTGCCAAAGAGCCACAGTAATACGTCAGCAGCCTCCCCCATTAGCTCCCCGCTCCCAGCGCCTCCCGCCCACTGGCTGCCCCACCGATCAGCGCCTCCCCCTCCCTTCCGATCAGCTGTTTCATGGTGTGCAGGAGGCTCTGGGGGGGAGGTGGAGGAGCGAGGGCACAGCAGGCTCAGGGAAGGGGGCGGGAAGGGGTGGAGGGGGGGCAGGGCCTGTCGCAGAGCCAGGGGTTGAGCAGTGAGCACCCCCGGCACATTGGAAAGTTGGTGCCTGTTGCTCCAGCCCCAGAGTCGGTGCCTATACAAGGAGCCGCATATTAACTTCTGAAGAGCCGCATGTGGCTCCGGAGCCACAGGTTGGCCACCCCTGATTTAGAGGGATAACAGACTGTCAGGAAAACAGCCTGACAACAAGACTGTTAATCTCCCAGGGGGAGGGGTGGAAGCGCCATTCCTTGTGACACATCCAACTGGACTGGACAAATTGCTAGTAAATGTGGAGGAGGGAATAACCCCGCGTTAGCAGGAAGATGGAGTAGATGACCTGTTGATAGATTTTAAGCATGTAACTCGCATGTGACTGGGGACTGGCATTTAGTGACTTAAAACAAACATTTACCATACCTAGCAGTGCCAGCAATCCCATTACGGTCAGCACAGGCTTCCTCACCATCTGGACATGAGGTGGCTTTGTGTTGTTCATCTGAAATCGGGCAGTCAGTGTTCTCTGAGTGAAGTAATGGGGATGGTAGTTCATGAAGGCATTGTCGTTACTCAGCAAAGTGTAGTTGATAGTGTTGTTGGCTTTGGAAATGAGCAGGTTTTGATGTTGGATGATTACCTGTAAAATAACGGGGAAAACTGGCCATCATGCTGGGGAAAACACACTTCTTGCTGACACTCTGACGAATAGATTCCTATTTTAAAACCAACGGTCTTATTTTTGTGGAACTGCATATTCAGCATACATGATCCTGCGGCAGTTCTACATGATGGGCTGCTTCTGTCTGGGGCCACTTTAACTCATTTCTGTGCATTCGTTTACCCGCTGAAAACAGTGGAGTAGAGCACCCTTGCTTCATTTGGATACTGTAGTGAAGCTACAGAACTAGTTTCATCCCTACGCTGCCACCGGTGTGTGCAGGATGAAGAGCTGTACATGCAAAGAAAGCAAAAGCATACAACATTTTGGCTTCAAAATTCATGAAGATCATCTCAGAGTGGCTTTAGTTCACATAAGCTCTCAGGTTGGCTAACATCAGGGCATCAGTAGGATTGCGGCAGTGCGTTGACTCAGATGTGAAGGATTAACCCTAGCCGTGAGAATGCACGGGGAGCAGCGGGCTCTCTGTGAGAATGCCAAGCGCTGCACAAAGGAAGAGTTCTAGACACGCTGTGTAAGCAGGCAGTGAAGGGGCTCAAGCCATGTTAGCTGGACACTGGGATTACAGACAATGGAGATAGCTCTACTAGATTTCTGAAGAGAGTTCTGGAGCAGTCCTTTTGGAAAATCTGGAGACTTCACACCATCCCTGAGAAACTCTTTATTAATAGTGAAGGTTGACACACACTTCCTCAGGAAGTGAAGTCTTAAGTGTCCAGAGGATGGAATTATTAGCGTGGTTTTCATAGATTCATAGATTCTAGGACTGGAAGGGACCTCGAGAGGTCATCGAGTCCAGTCCCCTGCCCGCATGGCAGGACGAAATACTGTCTAGACCATCCCTGATAGACATTTATCTAACCTACTCTTAAATATCTCCAGAGATGGAGATTCCACAACCTCCCTAGGCAATTTATTCCAGTGTTTAACCACCCTGACAGTTAGGAACTTTTTCCTAATGTCCAACCTAAACCTCCCTTGCTGCAGTTTAAGCCCATTGCTTCTTGTTCTATCCTTAGAGGCTAAGGTGAACAAGTTTTCTCCCTCCTCCTTATGACACCCTTTTAGATACCTGAAAACTGCTATCATGTCCCCTCTCAGTCTTCTCTTTTCCAAACTAAACAAACCCAATTCTTTCAGCCTTCCTTCATAGGTCATGTTCTCAAGACCTTTAATCATTCTTGTTGCTCTTCTCTGGACCCTCTCCAATTTCTCCACATCTTTCTTGAAATGCGGTGCCCAGAACTGGACACAATACTCCAGCTGAGGCCTAACCAGTGCAGAGTAGAGCGGAAGAATGACTTCTTGTGTCTTGCTCACAACACACCTGTTAATACAGCCCAGAATCATGTTTGCTTTTTTTGCAACAGCATCACACTGTTCACTCATATTTAGCTTGTGGTCCACTATAACCCCTAGATCCCTTTCTGCCGTACTCCTTCCTAGACAGTCTCTTCCCATTCTGTATGTATGAAACTGATTTTTTCTTCCTAAGTGGAGCACTTTGCATTTGTCTTTGTTAAACTTCATCCTGTTTACCTCAGACCATTTCTCCAATTTGTCCAGATCATTTTGAATTATGACCCTGTCCTCCAAAGCAGTTGCAATCCCTCCCAGTTTGGAAGCATCTGCAAACTTAATAAGCGTACTTTCTATGCCAATATCTAAGTCGTTAATGAAGATATTGAACAGAGCCGGTCCCAAAACAGAACCCTGCGGAACCCCACTCGTTATGCCTTTCCAGCAGGATTGGGAACCATTAATAACAACTCTCTGAGTACGGTTATCCAGCCAGTTATGCACCCACCTTATAGTAGCCCCATCTAAATTGTATTTGCCTAGTTTATCGATAAGAATATCATGCGAGACCGTATCAAATGCCTTACTAAAGTCTAGGTATACCACATCCACAGCTTCTCCCTTATCCACAAGACTCGTTATCCTATCAAAGAAAGCTATCAGATTGGTTTGACATGATTTGTTCTTTACAAATCCATGCTGGCTATTCCCTATCACCTTTAGTACTTATGTAAAGAGCTCTCATTAGAGATGTGATTTCCATCCACATTTTCTGTCAAAGTAATGTTTCATTAGTGACCTCATTGTACTTCATGTATAAGAACTTAGCAGCGTTTTGCCCTTACTGTTGCACCAATTATAATCATTGGGACATGATTAGGATCATTCATTAATGGACCATGTATGCTATTAATTGCAATACAAGAGGTAGCCTTATGGTCAAAGTATTGGACTAGCGCTCTGGGCTTACACCCGAACAGTACTAAATAACTCCACTGACCCCGGTGGAGTTGCTTTGGATTTACACTGGTGTAACAAAGTGCAGGCTTTGGCCCCGGTTCCAATTCCTTACTGAGTGACCTTGGGCATGCCCCTTTTATTCCTCTGTAAAATGTCCAACAATGCAACAAGGAGACAGATCAAAAGCGTAGGCCAGAGCAGAAACGTGAAGGGTTCTGCAGGCAAAACCCCCAAATGTTTACACTTTTTGCGGGGCAATAATAAGGAGCCAGTGAAGGGCCTGAGAGGAGACTCGCTTTCTTTAAAGAGTCAGCTAAAAATGGTGTGACATAAGCAGTGATAAAGCTATCACAAGTATACAGTGTAGTCATAGCCGTGTTGGTCCAGTATCTTTTTGTGGCCCAACTTCTGTTGGTGAGAGAGACAAGCTTTTGAGCTGACACAGAGCTCTTCTTCAGGTCCGGGCAAGGTACTCAGTGACGCTGCTAAATACAAGGTGGAACAGATTGAAACATGTGTTAACTACTTACGCTAAACAACCTTTCCCAGACCTGAAGAAGGGCTCTGTGTAAGCCTGAAAGCTTGTCTCTGTCCATCACAAGTATACCACAGGGTACGTCTTCACTACCCACCGTATCGGCGGGTAGCAATCGATTTATCCGGGATCGATATATCGCATCTCGTTAAGACGCGATATATCGATCCCCGAACACGCTCACCGTCGACTCCGGAACTCCATCAGAGCGAGCGGCGGTAGCGCAGTCGACGGGGGAGCCGCGGCTGTCGATCCCGCGCCGTGTGGACCTCAGATAATTCGATCCAAGATACTTCAACTTCAGCTATGCTATTCGCGTAGCTGAAGTTGCATATCTTAGATCGATCCCCCCGCCCAGTGTAGACCAGCCCATAGACAGGAAGTATTTGAGAAATGAGATGCGCCAGCTCACACTTAGAGGTTTGTGCACACCCAACGTGCAAACCCAGTCGATTTTTCGGGTCAATACTCCCATGGGCTTTCCAGGGACTTAGAAAGATCCATCTAATTGCTCCCATCTCCTCTCTAAATGCAAGGGTACGGTTCAGCAGATACCACAGGGAACATTCACAGGTTGGTACAACTGGCATGCTCCCAGGAGGAGGGGCAGTCTCTTCCCCAGCATTGCAGTTGCCTCCTTGGTTACGTAGTTCTGCACTGCCCCAACTCAGGGCCATATGCCCATTGCATGGCCTGCCCCTTGGTGCAGGCAGTAATAATGAGGTCATGTCAGCCCTCTGTGCAGAGACCTCACCCAAAGCCCAAGAACTACTGCATTAAGCAGTCAAGGAGGACGGTAGTGGTGCTTAGGGCTTTCTGGGAAAGGGTGATTTTGTAGTTGTGGGTGTATAATGCACCACAAGAAGATAGTGGCGAGCCTATTACAGGGAATGAGGGAATGTGAGTTTAGCCAATCATGCAGAAGGATTCACGGTAGGTGTCCCCAGCACATTCTCCAGTTCTCATAGGAGGAGGAGTTTTCATAGGGCTGTTTTCTACAGGGACTCTTGGGAAAGGGAAGATGAATTAGCTAAAGCTGTGAAGTTAAAGCACCTGACACCCTGGTGCGAGAGCATTCAAACCTCAGGATCTGGCTTGTAATTTTTTCCTGAAGTCCATTCAGAAACCTAATAAAACATTCTTTTGGCAACACACTTGCTCTGCAGATTAGCTTATTAGGTGAGGACACTAAGTGAGCGTTGAGTTACCTTCACCACCATGGCTGCATAGGTCACATCAGCTCTCCACGTTTGTGGAACTGACCATCCAACCAGTGGGTCTGCTTCATCATTGTATACAGGAACCGAGGTGAAATTTGGGAACAACTTCTGAATTTGCTCCATTGCTTCTATTTCTTGCTCTAAGATGTGAAGAGAACTTCCAGCTCCCTGTAACAACAGGAATCCCATTCATGCAAAGTGAGGAAGCAAAGTGTCACGTACGGTACTCTGAACAGTGGTTCTCAAACTTATTTGATTAGGCCTCCCATCTTTGTGTCTGTAGTAGTTTCTTGCCCCCCTCCCCCCCCCAAGTACATATATCGATTAAAAAAAATCAACATGCAACTCTCACTAAATATTAAAAACAGTGAAACATTGATTCAAACAGAGCCAACGATTCATTGTAATAAGAACAAAAGCAAAACTGCGATTGTGGTCGATTTGTTTACCATTAAATATGCCCACCGCGACATAGCAAACGGATTAACGTGCAGATGGCACCGACTTTGTATAATGCTAGGCAAGCTTAACAGAAATCCACCAAAATGCACAGCACCATTTAAGGACCTGGTATGGCAGGAGGAGTTAGCGTTGCTAATTATTCATGGCTGTGGGTAAAATGTGTGCAGTGAGGTTTTTTTCCCTAAAGCTTCTCACACTCCCTCTGCCCCTGAATACATTCTGTGCCCCCTCAGGAGGGCCCGGCCCCCAGTTTGAGAACCTCTGCAATGAAAGACAGAGCACAAGAACGTATGTCCCTGTCAGATTTGTGTGTGGTGTTGTAGCTGTGTCAGTCCCAGGCTATTAGAGAGACAAAGTGAGTGAGGTAATATCTTTTATTGGAACTGAAGAAGAGCTTTGCGTGGCTCAAAAGCTTGTCTCTCTCACCAACAGAAGTTGGTCCAATAAAAGATATCATCTTGCTCAACTTGCCTGTCAAATTTAACATTTCTACCCTATCTGCTCAGGCACTAGAACTGTTGACAAGCGGTCAAGACTATTGTTTTAAAGGGGAAAATTGTATATTTCCCCCCACTCTCCGCATGTGAAAGTGGCAGAAAAGTTGTTTTCAGGTGGAGACTAGATATGGAAGCATTCCGCTTGGAAGGAAGTTTGTCTGTTAGAACAACTTTAAAAGGCCCTCTGGAATTGTAATGGTTATGTACCCCAGTACAGGCAGAGCAGAATTCTGAAAGTAAACTTCATAAACAGTCAACCTTAGCAATAAATTGGATTAAGAAATACTCTCCTGTACACTTTTTTTTTATTAAACAGCTAAAAGCCTTGAACTGACCTTCTTATGTAGGGCTATGTAGTCCAACCTGACACCAGTCGCTCCAGTGAAGAAGTTGGTTCCATTGTAGCAGTGATGTAGAAGACTCCAGCAGATGGGCGACTTTGGGAATGGATGGAAAGAATCTCCTGGGCCTCCAAATTTCAGTAAAGAACTAGCTTCTCTTAACCCTTCTGAGCATGCGTCGTAATAATTGAGAAACCCTAGAGTCAGAGCAATTACGTATACAGTAGATGGTTACAGCTTAAAATTATAATGATGTCTCGATTCAAGTTACCGAAGAGTACGGTCAGTCCTCATATTGCTGCAGCAGGCTGTGAGCAATTAGAAAGTATAAAATGTGTTTGAAGCCACCTTTTTCCACTTCCTCTCTCCATTACTGATCACAACAGGGGTCTCGAAGTCCCCTCCCTTGGTTTCACACAGTCTCCGCAACAGGAAGCACCTTTAAAGGATTTTGCCTGGGCAAGCTACCAAGGTACACAGCTATTAAAACACATGGCTTTAAAGCAGAAAAAAAACTGCATAGCACAACTTTACTTTATAACCAAACAGTGAAAAACATGATTGTATTGGCGTCACCCTTACTCCCCATTCCCCACCCTCATTTCTGTTTTCTCTCATGTTAAAGTCTAACCTGAGACTTCATGAAATTCAGGGAAGGAATGCTATTAATGGAAGTTACGTGGATCACACCCAGGGCCAATCCCTTATAAAACAGAATATACCTGTATATACCCTATTATTTATCACCCACCTGCCCCTACCCTACTCCACCCCCACACGAATTAAATCAAGGTGAAAAGAAACAAACTTACCTTTGATACTCATTGACACATTATCGAAGTCATGATGATCTGGCTCGTTCCAAGTTTCAAAATTCCATTTGGCAACATGTTCCAATCCATATCTATCTGCAGACAAAACTACCTTTCATTACTGCCCGGTACACTTCCATGTGGTAACGAATCACTTCAGGGATAGAGCTCAGGACCAACCCACAGCCTTCCAAACATAGTGGATTAAATTCTGCCCTTTGAGGTGCCTGTGCAGCTCCCATGGATTTCAATGGCCGTGGTATGCCTGGCTCAAATGGCTGAATTTGAGTCTCTGTGACTAAAAGAACAGGAGTACTTGTGGCACCTTAGAGACTAACAAATTTATTAGAGCATAAGCTTTCGTGGGCTACAACCCACTTCTTCGGATGCCCACGAAAGCTTATGCTCTAATAAATTTGTTAGTCTCTAAGGTGCCACAAGTACTCCTGTTCTTTTTGCGGATACAGACTAACACGGCTGCTACTCTGAAACCTGTGACTAAAAGGTAGCTTCTCTTTCACTCATTCTCTGTGGCTATCAACACCAGCTTTCTTCCTGTCCACCACTGTTGTCTATCTTGCCCTTTACACAACCAGCGTAAGGCCATGGCGGGATCCAAATGATCGTGTTAATTACATATGTACAACATGCAATGCCTACCTACCTATAAACACACGGCTGCCCTGGCACAGCTCTGGTGGCTCCCGAAGCAAAGGCAGAGAGGGCTAAGGCTTGCTATCTAATTGCTATAAACTACAGCCACACTTGCAGCCTTGTTCTCTTCGATGCCTCTCTTCTTCTCTCCTGACCAGGACTTTGCTAAATCATGTCACTTTTTGGTCAGTCTTCAAAATCCATCCCTTCTTCAATTCTCATTCCTGACATTGTCATTGACTTCCGGTGTGACCCTGGGCATGTCACTTAACTTGTCGGTACCTCAGTTTACCCATCTGGAAAATGGGGGTAATGGTATTTATTTTATCTATTTCCCAGGGATGTGAGAGACTTAAGAGGTTCATTATTTGTACGGGGCTTTTAGCTGTGGTTGAACAGCACTGTGGAAGTGCTAATCCTCATAGACTCATAGAATATCAGGGTTGGAAGGGACTTCAGGAGGTCATCTAGTCCAACCCCCTGCTCAAAGCAGGACCAATCCCCAACTAAATCATCCCAGCTTTGTCAAGCCTGATCTTAAAAACCTCTAAGGAGATTCCACCACCTCCCTCATGATTTCAGCCTACATAGTTTGGCTTAGCCTAATTTTTTATTGGGCTACACACTGTATTTGTTGTTTTGAGTGTTGTATTGTCTAATGTTGAGTGGTGAAAATGAAACTAAAAAAAGACAAGAAGTGGAACTGGGCAGATAATTCTCAGCCTCAATTAGAACTCCTCACTCAATGGGCAAGAAACTTAAATGTACTGAGCTCCATGACTTGTTTCAAGTGGTTTCAGTCTCTCACCCTTCTAGGAAGCTTTTTCCAAAATTGAGTTCAAGAATTAGTATTGCTTAAATAAACCCATTCAAACCTCTCCCATTCACCCAATTGCTGCTATGCATCCTGAAATCAAGTATAAACCACAGAACTTTGGAAGAATAAAGGACTGATGATTAAACAATGATTATTTAATAACTCACCTATGTATCTCTTGGCCAGAAGTGCAATTAGGCTCCTCCATCTTATAACCTGTTTTTTGTCTTCAAAATCTGTAAAGTATCCTGAAGGGCTTCCCATCAATTCAAATCCTTAAATAAACACAAGAAGTCTAACTCCCCATTTTCATGAACTGGTTTACTTTTGATTAGCTAAGGAAGTCATTGAGTCTTATTGACACTTAAGAATCTGAAACTACATAAGACACAGGAAATTAGTTACATTAAATGGGCTACCTTTCCTGATGCCACACACTAATTCCACACAAATAGTTACTTTGGTCTTGAGGTCGTTCAAACTCATTGCTTGTCAATGAAATCAACAGTATTAGGAGTTACCACCTCAGCTTATGAACTGGAGTGTGACTTAGAGGTATTGGAGGTGTGTATAGCTGTATATGGGTAGTGAAAGCAAGATGAGTTTAGGAACGTGTCCTCTTTGGTCCCTTCTTGAGCGTATTTCAGCGAGGAGAGTTGATCACAGCTTCCAGTTCAGAGTTTCAGATTAATGCCAAAGCACTTACAAGTAAAGCACTAATGTGCTGCTTTACATTATTCCCAGTGTTCTGTGTGCAGAATTTCCATTTACATTAATGGGAGTCAAATGTAAGTAGAAGCGAACTAATTTTGGACCAAAAACTGCTCTGGCAACAGCTGTTTAGTCTGATGATTGTACATTTGATCCAACATGTTTAACTGACCAGGAAAAAGCTGTCCTTACCTGGAATGAGTTTGTTTTTCCAGAGAAGATCCATCAAGTTATCCAGACTGGTAAAGTTGTAGTGAAGTTTTCCATTTGTCACGCTAAAGAATATAGGCAATTGAAAGATACAAAACAAAGAAAAGAGCTAAAGTAAGCAAGAGAGACTGAAATATTAACATGACAAAGCAGGTCCCTAACTAAATTTTGATTGTAAGTTCTTCTGGCCAGCAACTGTATTACTGTTCATATAGCATGTGACATAATGGTGCAGGGCCCCGTTTTTGGTTGACCCCTAGGTGCTACTGTAAAACAAATAATAGCATTTGTTAAATAATGAAACTGTATCTCTTGTATACTTAATATAAACGAAACCTTTGTCTCAAATAGATCAACTGCTTTAGTTCTATAATTCACAGCAACATTTCAGTTGTTTAGAAATACATACGCTATTCTTTATTCTGATTTTAAAACAGTTTTGCCATAATGTGATTATTCTAACAAAGCCAGCATGTGGCTCCAGTAGAAAGAAGGCTGTATTACGTCTGGGTAAGATGCCCATTCTCTTCTGGCACACAGGACCAGTATGGTACTTCTAAAGGATTTACATATGAGATTTTTTTTCTTTTAAAGTGATAGATGTCTATAGCATCTAAGCACAGGCTTTTCCTTGCCCAGCCCATGGCATTTTCATCTCCCAGAGGCAGGAACATAAGCAACATAACAGATCTGATGAGACAGCAGGGGCTTTTTACCCATGCTTTCATTTGGACCCTGTGTTATTTGAATCTCCAATTTCTTACCCATGTACAAAGCAGCTTTACCAAGATTTTCTCCACTCCATTTGCTTTCTTGCGGCCACCAACTGGTTGCCTAGTACACCCCTGGTCCAAAATGAAAATATGCCTGACTGTTTAATTCTCATGATTTTGATTCTTACTCTGGTTGTTTAGCTGGATTCTTCATTGCTTTTGGCACAGCTGAGGATTAATAAATATATTTGCTGGGTAAGTGAGAAGAAATTTCCTGCACCTGTGGAAGCACACACCTACAGTAACTGTGTTCAAATTTTAACAGCCTTTAATATTTTCCATATATAGTGTGGGTGTAAGACTGCCATAAAAGCCATTCCCAGCTTACATCTAGGGCCAAATTTTTGGATGAGTCTCCTTCTAACCTCCTGTAGCGAGGGGGTGTGGCCTCTCTCGGAGACAAACGGAGGGACAGCCGCGAGCCCCCCCTGGTGGGCAGAGCCAGGACACCAACGCCCGCACCGCCGGAAGCAGAGGGGCGGGACAGGAACCAGAAAGATAAAAGGCCAGCCCTCCAGCTCAGTTAGAGAGGAGCCGTCGGCGGAGAAGGACATCTCTCACCCACTGCTGGGGTTGCCATTAGCCATTTATCCCAGTGAGATGGACGATGACCCCGGGACCCAGGTACCCCCGCTCAAACAGGAGTGTAGGAAGTAGCCATGGGGAGCTGAATATAGTTCAGTTGTGTTACTGACTGACAGCCAGCCAGCGTGTTGCAGCTGGATTTCCTCGCTGACCTGGGCTGGGAGGCAGTGGAGTTGGGTGGGACCGCATCCCCTAACCCCTGCCACCCCACCCCTGGAGTGGCAGCCTCCCCACCACAGGCCAAGAAGTCTGCATTTGTCAGTGTTCCACCAGAGCTAGGACCCCTGACTGTTTGCTGCCCCACCCTGTTTGAGGGCCTGGGCGTAGAGACTCATTATTGCTTGGTCCTGAGTACAAGCCCAAGCATCCTGACTTTGCTGCCCGCCCTGTTTGAAGGCCTGGGCGAATAGACTGGTTATTGCGCTGTCCCGAGTACAGGCCTCGGCTTCCTGACTTTGCTGCCTGCCCTGTTCGAGGGCCTGGGCTAACAGATTCCTTAGCTGCTCTGTCCTGAATACCGGCCAGGGCCACCTAACTGCTTGCTGCTTCGCCCTGCCAGAGGCCCGGGGCTTGTGGACACTCCTGCTCTGCCCTGACTGTATGCTAGAGTCCCCTAACCGTTTGGTGCCCTGTCCAGTTGGAGGACCAGGGCCCCTAGACTCAGCACTGGATTACCCCGCTGAGTGGCAGAGAACCCCATGCTAATTCCAACCTGAATTGTGCTTGTCTAGAGGACTTGCAGTGAGGGGGCATGGCCTCCCTCCCAGATGGATGGAGGGATAGCCATGACCGCCTTACACCTCCTTATATGTGCATAACACTCGGCAAGCATTGGCAGGTCCAGACCTGTGCCAGAACCCCAATCTGAACACTTGCAGATAAGGATTATAATTTGCCCCACAAAATCCATTTGTCCTAATTAACTTTGCAGGTGTAAATTAACACTCACTAACAGCATTTTTCATGTTCATCTGCAAAATGTGCCCAGGCGTATGTGTGCATTGGTTATTTTTTGTTTTGTTTTGCCTATAGGCTGAATATTTGGTCCTGAAATTTGTCTTTGGTAAATTTGAAACTTGATTTTTAAATTCATGGAGGGTTTTAATAACAATATCTCCACTTGGTTGTTCTGGCACATACCTATTGTCCAGAAAAAGAATAACTATAATCCTATGTAACAATCTTCTGAAAATGTAATTTATTGTTGCCTTGGCATAAGACCTGTGCGTGTGTAAAAATTGATTCACACCATATTCAGAGTAACTAGTTAATTAACCATTTAGGGATTGATCATAGTGCAAGAGATGAGCGTAGTGCATAGAAATGCAAGGCAAAAAGTGGTAAACATGATAGGGAATCCAATATTGGACACTTTAAATCATGTAGCAGGGGAAATTGAGAGACGGAACTTCTGCCTCTTTTCTTTAACTTTATGGGGCAGATTTGAATGGAGAGCCTGGAAGTTTACTGATCCTGGAGCAGTGCATGAACTAGGAGGATTTATAAAACTACCTAGAGAAGATGTTGGTGACCTGACGAGGAACCAGGACTGTCAGGTTAGAATCTAGCGCTAGATGAGACCTAGTCCATTCCCCCACGCTGAGGCAGGACCACGTATAGCTGGCCCATCCCTGACAGATGTTTGTGTAAGCTGTTCTTAAACCCCCCCAGTGACAGGAATTCCCCAACCTCCTTTGGAAGCCTATTCCTGTACTTAACGATCCTTGCCGTTAGAAAGTTTTTCCTAATATCTAACCTAAATCTTGCTGCAGATTAAGCCCTTTACTACTTATCCTACCTTCAGTGGACATGGAGAACAATTGATTATTGTCCTCTTTATTACAGCTGTTAACATATTTGAAGACTGTTGTCAGGTCCCCTGTCAAATTGGTGGAAACTATAGTAAAGAACAGAATTATCAGACACACATAAACACGATTGGTTGGGAAAGAGTCAACGCGCCTCTTGTAAAGGGAAGTCCTGCCTCACCAATCTATTAGAGTTCTTTGAGGGAGCCAACAAGCATATAGACAAGGGGGATCCAGTGGATATAGTGTACTTGGATTTTCAGAAAGCCTTTGACAAGGTCCCTCACCAAAGGCTCTTATGCAAAGTAAGCAGTCATGGGATCACAGAATCATAGAAGATTAGAGTTGAAAGAGACCTCAGGAGGTCATCTAGTCCAATCTTCTGCTCAAAGCAGGACCAACCCCAACTAAATCATCCCAGCCAGGGCTTTGTCAAGCCTGACCTTAAAAATCTCTAAGGACGGAGATTCCACCACCTCCCTAGGGAACCCATTCCAGTGCTTCACCACCCTCCTAGTCAAAAGGTTTTTCCTAATATCCAACCTAGACCTCCCACACTGCAACTTCAGACCATTACTCCTTGTTCTGTCATCTGCCATCACTGAGAACAGCTGAGCTCCATCCTCTTTGGAACCCCCCCCCCCTTCAAGTAGGTGAAGGCTGCTATCAAATCCCCCCTCACTCTTCTCTTCTGCAGCCTAAATAAGCCCAATTCCCTCAGCCTCTCCTCATAAGTCATGTGCTCCAGCCCCCTAATAATTTTCATTGCCCTCCGCTGGACTCTCTCCAATTTGTCCACATTGGGATAAGAGGGAAGGTCCTCTCACAGATCAGTAACTAGTTGAAAGATAGGAATAAATGGTCAGCTTTCCTAATGGAGAGAAATGAACAGTGCCCCCCACCCCCACCCCAAGGATTTATACTTGAACCTGTGCCATTCAACATATTCATTAATGATCTGGAAAAGGGGGTGAACAGGGAAGTGGCAAAGTTTGCAGACGATACAAAATTATTCAAGATAGTTAAGTCCAAAGCTGACTGCGAGTAGTTACAGGGGAACTTTCTAAAACTGGGTGACTCAGCAACAAAATGGCAGGTGAACTTCAACGGTGACAAGTGTAAAATAATGCACATTGGAAAAAAATAATCCCAACTATACATATACCGTAGTGGGTTCCAAATTAGCTATTACCACACAAGAAAGAGATCCTGGAGTCAGCATGGATGCTTCTTTGAAAACTTCATCTCGGATGCACAGCAGTGGTCAAAAAGACTAACAAAATGTTAGGAACCATTAGGAAAGGGATAGAAAATAAAACAGAAAATATCATAATGCCACTATGTAAATCCATGATATGCCCACACCTTGTATATTGTGTCCCGTTCTGGTAACCCATCTCAAAAAGGACATAGTGGAACTGGAAAAGTTTCAGAGAAGGGCAACATAGATCATCAAAGGTATGGAACGGCTTCCATATGAGGAGAGACTAAAAAGATTAGGGCTGTTCAGCTTAGAAAAGAGATGAATAAGAGGTGACATGACAGAGGTCTATAAAATCATGAATGGTGTGGAAAAAAGTGAAAACAGATGTTTTATTTTCTCTTTCACGCAATACAAAAAACTGGGGGTCACCTGATGAAATTAATAGCAAGTTTAATATAAACAAGAGGAAGTACTTTTTCACACAACCCCAAGTTAACCTGTGGAACTCACTGCCATGGAATCTTGTGACAGCCAAGAGCATAACTGGGTTCAAAAACGAACTGGACAAATTCCTGGACGATCAGTCTATCAATGGCTATTGGCCAAGATGGGCAGGGACACAACCCCATGCTCGGGGCGACCCTAAACCTCTGACTGCTGGGCGGAAACACTACATACTCGCCCTGTTCTGTACA